GGTGGTGTTAACACTAAAATAGATAAAGCTCTAATTTCTTCAAAGATATCTGCTTTCTTGGTTTTCAATAAATTGAACTCAACAAAAGGTCCATTAGAAACTTCTTGAACTTTCACTATACCAAGATTAGATGCTTCAAAAAGAAAATTTTGATATTTCTGTATACTTGGTAATTTCTTAAAATAAATTCCCAAAATTGCTTTAATATCTAAGTATTAAAAACCCTTTTCATCTTCATAACACTGTGCTTTATTCAATCCTGCTGGACTAGATCTTTTCACCACATCAACCACATGACCCGGACAATCTACCCTTGTTTTCCTATAGAGTTTTTTTATTAAACCAAAACTACCATCACATTTGAATTTGGTGCACCCAGGAACCATGAAATTTAATTCAATACTTTCACAATAACCACAAATTACTAAATACAAGTAAAACCAAATTATTACATTAATTAAACAGGTTGTGTATCTGTTGTTCAAATGACATACGTGTCTATTTGACAATTTTGAAATTTTCTTCGCAAGCTTGTGAAATGTAATGTCTGTTACAAAAAGGATCTTTAATAAGAAGTTTTTATTCCAAAAAAAAGCATTTTTATATGTTAATGTAGCAATTTGATTTTTGAAAATCAGATGCTAACCAGTTAATTTCAATGCAAGAAAGGGAAAGTATACTACAAACAAAATTTTCACGTCCTCAATTATGGGTTATGAGAGTGTCACTGAACTATTTAGAACTGATATACTGTCTAGTGGTTAAGTAGAAAATGGTAGATTATAGCGCCATAACATGGGGGTAATTAGGCAGACTTTATGTGTACAAGATACATTTTATTCGTTAGATATTAATGTTATTACAAGATTAAGATGATAGATGATGATATTGAGAAGATTATGAGAAGATGACGTCGAGGAAAAGATACAAACGTGATCTCTTTATATCTTTCGTCCAGTTGCATTTTTTTATTACTAATCAGCGAATTAACATGACAACAAGACGTAATACTGTATATATCAAATAATTTATTAGAATGAAACATGTTTGATAAAATATGGGTTCAGCTGCCAGACTTTTCATTGATCTCATACGGGTCCTGTGCTCTTTTGTTCTTTTGTTCTTTTGTTCTTTTGTTCTTTTGTTCTTTTGTTCTTTTGTTCTTTTTTACTTTTCTTTGTTTAGGAGTTACCGTGATTTACGAGAATGTGGCCACGGTGTTTGTTCACATTATTTTTATTGATATTGTAAGAGTTTCCTTACTAAAATCGTTAAAATGCAATTTTCAAAGTTTAATTCACTTCTCACGAATATTTATCACTTAGATAATATTCCAATGTATTTGCCAGAGAAAAATAACTTAATTCATTTATTGATCTTTTTGTTCGTATATTTATATAAAATTACAATGAATAAATAATAATAAAATACATGTTATGCGAATAGAGCATATGTTTCACAGCTTAGAAAGAACGTAAAAAGGAAACATAATTAATTAAAAATAAGAGTTAATGTTCTCCAGCATTATCTATATCCACTAACTAATGAATAAATGTGTAACTAATTAATTAATCGTAAACTCTCTTTAACGTGCGTTACTTTGTACGTTGCGTTTACCAACATTTTTCTACGTTACACGTGTCTCACAATAATAATAAATAATAAAATAACGAATAATAATAAAACGAAAAAAATTAATTTAATTATATATCTCTATGTATTAAAAAGCTCATCAAGCTCATCAATTGGCACAGAATTAAACAAAATTGAAGATGTACAGTAAATCATCCCACACACAGTGGCAAATATTCCACAAAAACTCAAATTCCATTCAGAATCATCCCTCTTTTGACCTGGAATGACATCAAATCCCCAACCATACCATGACCACCAAGCGTATGTTCCATCTGAATTGTTGTACCCGAATCCAAATCCTGGCCAAATAAGAAGAAGTGAAGAAAGAAGAACTGCATCGCGCAACTTCCACAAGAGCATTGCATGTGTGTGGTTTTCTGCAGCTGCAATAATTTGGTTTCGAAAATTAGACCCAAGCAAAATGTAAAGAAATACAATAATGGGTGAGTTGAGATACAAAGCTATTGTTCGTGTAGAGAAAGGCCCATAGTAGGAAATCAACAAAGCCAAAGAACCGATAATATCAAAATAAAAATAAATGACCAATCCAAACACCATCAGAATCTTGGGTGAAACAACAACGAAGGCTGTAGAATTTGGTGGTGACATGAAAACCATTGACAAGAAAGCTCGCAAACCTATTGCCCAAATAGAAAGTTTGATTATAGTATAGATGAAAATCCCAAAAGTTGGACGAACATGGAAGAACTCGAATTAAAAATCTGACATGTCACTGGTCAGTCTCTTAATGACAAGAGTGAAGTTAGCCTTTATGCTCCTAGGGGAACATGATGATACAAAAAACTAAACAAAAAGTGAATGGATGAAGGTAAACTAAGAATGGCAGTAGACCCTAATGAAACTAGAGAATGAGCTAAGAATTGTAAAAGAGTTTGATTTGATAACATTGCAATTGAAGAAATGTTAGAAGGATTTATTGATTATTCAAATGAATTAGCTTCAGAGTATTCAGGAAGTTGGTCAAAAATCAGTAGTTTAAATTAAAAATTTAGAAGCAGAAAGAAATGAACTAGAAGCATGGATGGAAGAGTTGGAAGATGAGGTGGGAATGGAACAAGAAGCTAAGAAAGCACTAGATAAAGCAATGGAATGGAGAATAAGATATAGAAAGCAGAATTGGAAAATGCTGGCAATGAACTTTTGGGGCAATTATACAAAGAACATAAGAACCAAAAAGAATACATTGAACAATTGGAAACAAAACTGTATGGGCAAGAAGAACTATTGAGAAAAGCACTTGAAAAAAATGCAAATCAAAAAACTGAAATTGAGGATTTACAGGAAAAATTAGGTTCAATTAGTAAACTATATTTGGGCAATAAACCTTCACCAAAATTACCAAGCAAATTCAAAATCTTTAAAGAAAAAGCAAAAACTAAAGTCCAACACTTAGTGGAAAAAACCAAACACCAAACTCAAGTGTTATTGACTTGAATAGAAGTTAGAGTCAAGTAATTATGAGAGGACTCCTTTACATAATTTTGGGCTTAGAAGAGTGAAACAAAGAAGGAACTCATGATTTTTGCTCTCATTTTGAAAATAATGAAAATCAATCAGTCTGTCAAATTAGAACATGAAGTAAAGTGACTGAAGAGTTCCAAAATGTAAGAGATGTAAAAGGTTAGAAACTAAATTAAATAGAGATGCTCTTTGTGATTGTGTTAGAAATAATGAAGATGTGGAAGAAAAAGAACTTCCTATTTTACCATATGAGGGGAGACCATATGCTTTTTATGAAAGGCAAATAAATTCTTTAAGAAAAGAGTTAGCCACTGCAGAGGAAGCCCTAGAAGTTGAAAGGGAGGGGGTAGACAAATTTCAAGAAAAATCTGAAGAGTGAAGTAAAAAACAGAAACAGGAGTTATTGGATAAGATAAAAAGTTTAGAAGAAAAAATTAAGCAACTAAAAGAGGAAAACAAGACATTAAAAGATCAATAGAATGGTCAATTAACTGCTCAACTTGAAGTTAAAGAGACTAAAAGATGATCTTGATCGAAAATAAGAAAGTCGTTTAAAGAATATTCTGTATAAATTGAAATTCATTCCAATTATCAAAGAAAATGATAGTTATTTTCCTTTAGATGAAAGTTAATATTTTGGCTTTTGATATCTTGTTGATGATAATTCAATGATTATAAAAAGCAGCTACAGTATTACTGACAAGGATGAGATTTACATTCTTTCTGATTACAAATATAATCATGTTAAAACTAAAGTCTCTGACTCAAAAGATGAATATTTTGCCAAAGCTGCAAATAAATATAAAAACAATATTTCAAAGAATAAAGGAAATTATGAATAACAGATATAACTTTTTAAGTTTTAATTGCTATGATTTATGTTGTTAGGAGGACTAAAAAAGAAACAATAAATTAACATTGCAACAATGTGATTATTTTCCTTCTAGAGGTTTCTGCTTTTTGTTAGATAATAATGCATTTTCATTCTGTTTTTTTCCTAACATTGATTATTTCAGTATTTTTCTTTCTTGGTAAATTTCATAGGTACCGTAAAGTCTGGAAAGATAGCATCCCTTTTTACATACGTGTAACATTTTTTTTATATTGACGCTCAATTGTTTTAAAGTAAGGGGTGCTATCTTTCGGGGGGTGCTATCTTTCC